GCTGCCCAGGCTCTGTTCCCACTCTACACCTCCCCCACAGTTGCTCACCTGGCTCCCGAGGAGGTCCTTGAAAGCGGCCACACCTCTCACTATATAAGTCTCATTGCTGTGACAAAGGCCTGTGCCCGGCAAAAGCAACTTGAAGAAGGGAGGGTTTGTTTGGGCTCAGGTTTGAGGTGCAAGGCCACCACGGGAGGGAAGGCATGGCAGCGGGAGCATGCGGCAGCTGGTCGCATTGCTACAGTCAGGAAGCAGAGAGGTGAATGCTGGTGCCCAGCTCACATTCTCGTCTCTATTCACCCCAGGACTCCAGCCCACGGGATAGTGTCATATCCAGGGTAAGTCTTCCAAGCTTAGTTTAACCTTTCTAAACACCCTTATAGACATACTTTATGGAACCACGTGGTTCTCAATACAGTCAAATTGAGCATGACAATCGTCACACTCACCCTGCCTCTCCTCCCAGGTCTTCGAGAAGCCCCACGACTTCCTCCCAGTCAACCCTGTCTGCCCAGAAACTCTCAACACTGTCCGCATCCTGGACTTGGAGGCCTTCCGGAAGGTGTCCCCAGAGCTGAGAGACTCGGTCTTGCATGGCAGCACCGATAGTGGCTTTGGTAGTGGCAAGCCATCACTGCAGACCGAAGAGTCTCAGTTTCTTCTCCCTGGCTCCCACCTCCAGGTGCAAGGGACTCTGGGAAAGGAGGAGCTTCTGGAGCTCGGGGACAGCTGCGCTGACAACACAGACAGTGGGATCTGCCTGCAGGATCCCAGCTTACATTCCAGCACGGGGCCCACCTGGAAGCAGCAGTTTGGAGTCACCAGTCAGGGCCAGGAAGACAATGACATTAACTTAACCCAGAGTTCTCCAGGACAGCCTAAGAACACACAGAGTGACTCTGCCTTGAACCATGTTCATCTCCTCGAACCCGGAGTTCCTGAGGAGAAAGACCAAGTCACAGTGACATCCCAGGGCTACCAGAAACAGACCCAGTGGAAGGAAGGGGCAGCAGACCCAGAAGGACACGTGAACAAAGAGATTTCCTTGACAGATGGCTTTGACCCTCAACTCAGGGTGTGCTTGCAGGCTGAGTTAACTTGGCCTCCACCAGCTCTGGCCAAGGGTTATTTGAAACAGGAATCCCAAGGGGTGACCCCGGCACCAGCAGGGACCCCAAGTAAGCAATGGAGTCAGCTGACTGGAGAATGGTCACTCCTGGGCGTGGTTAGCTGTGAAGATCTAAGCACAGAGGGTTGGGATTTTGCTCATCAATTTGCCCCTCTGGACTATGGGGCAGCCCCTGGTGGCCTCCTGGATAGCTTGGACTCTAACCTGGTCACCCTGCCGCTGATCTCCAGCCTGCAGGTAGAGGAATGACATGGTCTAAGGGCTCGTTGTATTCCAGCCATGCCTGCTGTCCTATGTGCACTAGGGCCCAGGGATCAAAGAAATGGTGGACCTTTTTCTACAAATCCACCATGGCCAGCTAGCCAGGCCCCACAGGGCAGGAAAAGGCCATCTTGCTGGGCAAGTGTCCAGTACATGGGAGGTTATGTGTGCTTCTGCTGAGATGGGCCCTGCAGACTCCAGCCTAGCGGAGCAGGGTAGACAGAGACCTCACTCCCCAGGGCTGGGTCCTGTACTGGAAGAATCTGTGTTTGGGAGGAACCCCAGGGATTTTTAGATATGGTAAGGTTACCAGGCTGAAGTCAGAGCAACCTGGAGGTCCACAGAGGAGTGGGAGTAGCCAGCCTCCTGCAGAGTACAGAGGGAGCAGGAACCAGGCTTAATACTGTCACGGAGAGATGTGCTCCAACTTGGACATGGTACCTGTAACTGGAAGATATTGAGGTGCATGCCATCCGGAATGATCAGCCAGCTACTTCAGAACCATGGGGCAAAAGGGACTGAGACTTACAATCTAGCTCTTGTGGGTGTCTCTCCTATCCATCCGCTGACATCTCCTTGGTTTTGACATCTGTGTCCCCCTGGCTTATCTTCAGTAGCCAAGCCATTGCTCCTTGATACTCACTGTTGTGCTGACAGGCCAGACAAACTATGGTTGTCTATGTTAGCACACTACCCTTTATGTGGCCTTTGGGCATAGACACTGACCCAGCCTTAAGTCTTAAATATCTGTATTTGCTGCTATTTTCTAACTACAGACCCAGAGAACAGGGTACTGGGTTGGCATCTCTGTGTTCAGCTGCTTGACCTTGGACCAGCAGCTTCTTCAGGGGACTAAAATAAGAATGAATCGTTAGGAAGTCCCTCGGGCTAAATGTTAGACAATTTGGCCCTGGGGGTGATATTTTTGACCTTGCCATCCTCTGGGCTAGGAGGAAGTAGACTGTGGAAACCATCTGCCCACAGGTAGCTTCTGCCTCATGCCAAGGTCTCAGAGATCTTGCAGGAGCTTAGGCCCTTGTGCCAAGAGAGCTGCTAGTAACTGGAGCTCAGGGCTGGTCCCACTTCCCTAGACTGTATTTGAGGTCTGTGCTCAAACAAAGGCAGTTTGCAGCCGCCAAGCAAGGATGCTGGAGAAAGGGCAAGGCTGCTGGTCCCCTCACAGTGCCTATCCCTGAGCCCGGAGTTTCTCCGAAGCTTTCCAGAAACAGGCTGTGTAACCTGGGAGAGTCAGCCATGAGCTTGCCACTCTGCCAAGAAGGTCACGAGGCCAGTCTGGTACCAGAGCTCCTTCTGAAGTTGGAAGGACTCCTTGGGATTGCCTAGGAACCTTTATTTATTTATTTTGTTCACTTATTTATTGAAGAGGCAGCATAGCATAGGTGCAGGGCTCAGGGTCTCTTAGGAGCTCTAGTTTTGACTGCACTGTTTCTAGCTATGTGACCTTGGGCAAGTCACAATTTCCTCTTTGTGCCTCAGTTCCTGTCTGTATGTAAAACTTGACAAGTTCCCAATAAGCCCAATCCCTCGGACTGTGGAGTCCCACTGAGAAAATGGACATGAATGTGCCCCCAACGGCGAGTGAATGGTGTGTGTTTTCAGTCCAATAAATGGGTGTTTTGTGAAAACCATCAGATTTCTCCTGGTAACTATGGACCACTGGTGACGGTCATGAGCAAGATGTGCTTTAAGGAGATAGTCTGCGGATGTGGGCCCACACAGACAGACCCAACTTCAGCATTAACTGTGACCTTGGAAAAGGCACAGATTCTCTCACAGTTTCTGATGGCCCAAAGGTGACACGAAAGTGACAGCTGTCATGGTGAAGTCATGAGGTTGAAATGAGATCATGGACGAAAAGAGCTTACTATGGTACCCCACATCTGGGATTCTATGGGTAAACATCTGTCAAGGGCTGTTAGGGCTAGAAAGGGAAACAGACTGTTTTCTTAGAAACAGATGAAATGACGGAGAGAGGTCTGGGGTGTTCTTTCAGAAGACTAAACCCCAGTGTTTGGGATGGCAGTTCTGACAGTGTGGGACTCCAGGGCATGAGTGAGCCAGATCTGCAGACACTGTGCCCGCTCGCCTTACCCTGAAGATGTGCCTGGGTGGTTCCGTATGCTGGAAGCCTCCCGAGTTCTGTTCACAACAATCAGTGTGTGGGTTGGCACAGATCCCTGAACTCAGTCATGTGGGTGCAGCAAATCTAGGGGCCGTGCCTGAGTCCTGGGTGTCTGTGAGTCTGAGATCATCAGGACACCAAGTCCTTTCCCAGGGCTCCCATGAGCCCTCCCTGTTCACTCTGGGAAAGGAGGTCTTCTGGAGAGACAGCAGTCTCCTCTCCTGCAGAGAACCTGAACAGCACCACACTGTATGTGTGTGTGTGTGTGTGTGTGTGTGTGTGTGTGTGTGTGTGTGTGTGTGTGTAAGAAGCATGGGCTTACTTCCTCCCTGGGGACCTCCTGGCTGGGTCGGAAAAGAGAGGTACAATGACCATTCTTTCTGGAAATGGTGCTGGGGATGGCTTCTTCCCCATGGACAAGCTCTTGAGGCAGGTGGGGTGGCGCCTGAGCACTGGATCGATAAAAGAGAAGAGAAATTATCCTGGTGAGAAGCAGGCCTGCAGGACAGAACAGAGGCAGAGAGGAGCTGTGAGTGTCAGCAGGCCTAGAAATGTCAGTGGGAGAGTCGGTTGGTTCCTTAGTGAAGCTAGGGCTTGTGGGGAGCCTAGAGGACTCTTCTAGGCAGCAGCTGATGGAACACTTCATTCAGGCTTCTCTGGAATTCAGGTTAAAGTCCCCAGTAGAAGGCCACACTTGATCTTCAGCTGCGCACTTCCTTCAAGGGCTTTTCCAGGCTGAGGAATGTGTGGTTCTGGGTTTCTGTGAGCTAACGGAACTTCCTCTTAGCAAAGAGAGAAGGGAAATGGGCTCACACTGACAGAGGAGGAAATTCTGTGAAACTGTGCTTTCCCAAATTCGTAAATAACTAGAGTCGAGAAATTGCCGCCCCACCCCCGCCACAAATACCTCTACCATCCCCCATATATACAGCGACAGAACTTTCATCCCTCTGAGAGGTCAGGTCACACACAGAGCCTACACTGCGTCTACAGAACGCTCAGCACCTCAAGAGGCTGGGTACCACCCATAGGGCTCACACAGAACCTGCACCACAGGCTGGCAATTCTCAGAGCCCATCATGGGAAGAGGAGGGAGCCTGAAGTGTTGCTTATCTGGGGCCACACAGAAACCTGAAGGGCATGTCCAGGCAGCCGGGTACCGATGCTATCTCCCCCACCGATAGGACACCAGATACTGAGAAGCCTGACTCACTCATTTCCTGCAGTGCTCATGGGTTTGAGGGTTTCTTTGAAGCCAACCCACAACTTAAAATTAAGTGTATTGCTATTAATGAGAAGGCCCATGGTGCCTCTCACTGACGGAGTGATCTGAACTTCACTGGATTTCCCATAAATCTCCAAACAGGGCTGGGACTCTATAAACACTGTTGAGAAAGGACTGGGTAGGATGAAATTCGTGTTCATAAACAGTGACTCTGGCCAAAACATAAGTCATTCAGCAAAGGGAACAGGGCCGAAAACAGGGAGACCTTTATTAAAACCAGCCATTTCATTTTGCTGGCCTTTCTTGCCAACCCAATGGTCCATTCCTTTAGCAGTTACCTACCACATGCCAGATGTGAGATTCAGCCTTGGCTCCATGCAGCTGATTATCTGGATATAAATAAAGGTAAACACCAAGCATTTGCGTACTAACAAGTGTCGCCATCTGTGGAAGAAACCAGTATCCTGCACCAGGGATGAGGCAGGGAGTAGATAAGCAGGGTGGGAAGCTGCCTTCGCTCTGGCTATGGGAGAGCACCTAGCAGTGGGGAAGGGCTTTAACCAGAAGCATGCTGGCAGCTGGGAAACTGAGGATCACTGTTCTAGCTCATACAGCTCCCACGGAGGGCCTCTTCCTTGTCTACAGGAATCTTGAAGCTATACCACCCATGATGGAAATAAACTAGGGTCTCTTCCTCTTATGAAGACACTAATCCCATCATGAAGCTCCATCCACATGACCTCGCCCAATAGCCTCCACAAAGTCCCACCATCACATTAGAGGTTAGGACTTCAACATTGAGGGGTGGGCGGGGACACCACCATTCAATCCATATGGATGAATGCGCACGTGTGTGTGTGTGTGTGTGTGTGTGTGTGTGTGTGTATTGAGCGAGGGCAATGGGAATCGAGAAGGAACAAATTCAAATGACACTTCAGAGAAAGCAAGACAGGACAACAGGCTGGATAGAAGGAAAGAGTCAAGTGTTAACTACCACTTGAACCTGATAGAGAGCAGTGCATGGCATGGGTACAGAAGGGAAAACATGGTGTGGCCGCGGCAGAGATGTGGGGGACCTAGAAGATGCTCAGCTTCAGCTCAATAGTCGTATTTCATTCAGAGGAAAGATATTTAAGTGGCTCTCAGGGTGGGTCTGGCACAGGATTAGGGCTTAGGACTGGGAATTTTGAGGCACGTGCTCTGTGTTCTCTGTGAGCTTGCATCGTGGGTGGCACAGAGATGAGAAGACAGGTCTGGAGAGGATTCCTGACCATCTCCAGCCTGTGAACTCGGGGTATTCACCTAACTCGCTAGCTCTAGGAAGAGCGGGCAGCCGTCCTATTGGCCTACAGTGTCAAGAACCATGCCTGAGCTGAGCATGTTCACTGCAGACCCCAGTCAGCAGCCTCGGGGATCTTCAGACGGCCTCAGCCCGTAGCCAGGGGGTGACGCAACAGTCAAGTGTTCCCTGTAGTGAATTATCCCACCCAAAGAGTTGAGGGACTCTGGACTGGGCATGAGTAGGGAAGGGCAGACACAGTGCCACCTTCCTCCTTCCCCTCGCAAGCAGCCCTTTAGAAGAGCAGCCCCACTCACGGACTACACTCTACACACAGTATGCATGATTCCTGAATGGCAGCACCTTACAGCCCTGCAGCCTCTCTGTGGAAACTTACCACTCAACACAACTCCCATCTTTAGCCACTGTCTAGAATCCCCCAAAAAGGCATTCATGGAGGGCCCCAGCATCTCCTGCTTCCACAACTACCAATCCACATTCATTTCTCCAATGCCTTCAGAGAGGGGTAAAGTGGTTTACCCTTCATGTCTCTGAACTGGTGTCACCACTTTCTTCTTAATTCCGACTCCTCTACTGGTTCTTAGAATGGCTAATAACAACCCCACGCACACGGCCAAGGGGACCGTGCAGAATATGCCTAATGGAAAAGGGACCGTTATGTCGTTCCTCAGCCTGGCTTTTCCCGTGGCCTTGCGGCTATTCCATCCTGCTTCTTCCGTGCCTGCCCATCTGGAGTCTTCAGCCCTCTCGGGTACCACTTGCCATAGCCTCCTGGTCAGGTTTGTTTGTTGTTATTTGTTTTCCCTCCAGCATCCCTTGCCACTAAATAATCTCACTGTCTACTGAGCTGAGGGATTGAAAATGTAAATTTGGGCTTTGAGTTCTACTGGCCAACTTGTGAGACAACACTCAAAGCCTCTGCTCAGAGGCTTCTTCAGAACCACCCTCCTGGCTCCTGTCCCTTCTCATTTCTTCCCTTTCACATGCTCACCGCTCTCCTCCCCCAGCCCCCACATCCACCTGCCTTCCCCCCAACAAACTACACTGCTCATGCCTCTGGCCTTCTATTTATGCCAGTTCCTCACCCCCAGAAGCTCTTCTTCCACTGCTGTTTCAAGGCTGCCCATGTGTCCTCTGCAAAGCAACTCCTGGGAAGCCTGAGTGTGCTTCCAACATGCAGCTTGTCACTACGGGGCCACCCTGGGAAGATGAGATGGGAAGTGTGAAGTCTCACTCTTGGTGCCCTCCACACCTGCAGTGGTATGAGACACCCCATAGGTGCTGGGTGCACTCAGGTGTGTGATATAGTAACTACGCTAAGTGGAGGCGGGAAGGCTCAGACATGGAGTCCATGACAGAAGATCTGAGCGCAGGATACAAGGTTAGCAAAGAGCCAGCATAGGTAATACAGTCAGGGCTCTAGACCCTGGGATGGGGTGGAGTGTGGGAGGCAGGGCAAACACATGGTATCCGTTCACTCAGGCTGAACAACTACCACAGCAAGGTCCACTAAGACTAACCAGCTACCACAGCAAGGTCCACTAAGACTAACCAGCTACCGCAGCAAGGTCCACTAAGATTAACCAACTACCACAGCAAGACTATTGGGCTGGAGAGGCCCCAAGAGCATCCCCAGGGAAAGGGAAGACTGCTTCCCTGGGTTCTAGGCATGAGCTGTTCTTTCAAATGAGTCTGACTGGACCTCAGCCTTTTGGTCTGTCAAATGGGGATAGTCTTGAGGCTGACTATTTTCCTTGGTTCTCTGGGCCCCCGACTTTGATGCAAGGTCCTTTAGCCAGCACTCATTCCAGCTCGCTGGCAGCAGGAACTCCTCTTGATTGATCTCTGTGCCCTCTACGCCCAGTCAATGGTAGTGCATAGTAATGAGCGCTCAATGAACTTTTGGTGCATAAATGAATGCTTGAATGAGTAGAACTTTTCCATTCATGTCAAGGAAGCATTTGAGTGCAGGTGGAAGCAGTTTGAGAAGCATCGAGATGATTCTGATGGTCATGGAAGACTGAGCAAAGCAGGTGCTTGGGAGACGTTAGTCTGAACCTAGGAGAGAGAGAGAGGGTTATAGGTAACTCTGAGTGGAAGCTCGATTTCAGGTTTGCCATCCCCTTTCCTCTTAGTAACGTGATTCTGTAATTATTCCCTTCCTGCTTTCTTCACCCTACCGTTCCTATGTGTTGTGGGACTTAGGACTGCAGACCAAACAGGAGACATAAAGTAAGAGAATACATCCAGGAGACAAGGCAAAGACGCCTGCAAACATTCAGTATGCATTCACCCACTCTTTGGACAAACATTCATTGGGTACCCACCATGCCAAACCTCCCTAGATTGTGACAGACAGTTAGGCATGACCCTCCTGGCTGGCACAATTCTGTATGCATGTGTATGCACACAGATACATACATACACACACACACACACACACACACACAGAATGTCCACTCACTTCCCCATCACCACCCTCACCCCAGCTTGGTGGAATCAAAGTTACCCACTGGGAAATAACTTCACAGCTGGAAGAAGCCTCAGAGCTCTCAAAGCCAATGGCAGCCTTACATAAACAAGGTCTCTGGAGCCCAGAGAGCCTCAACCCAGTCTAGAAGGAGAAGAACTGGGCTTAGAATAGAAACCGAGAGACTGCTTCCATTTCTCACACACCCTTCTCCCAGCAGTCCTCTGCTGGTGTCTGAGAAATCCTACCCAAGGCTTCGCGGAGGGGAAACCAAGACCATGGCACTGCAAGAGACGAAAAGGAGAGGGAGGTACGGGAGAGCAGGAAGGGCAGAGTCCACTACGGCCTTGGCCTCCATCACAGCCTCACTTATTGTTTTGTTGTTTTGCTGCTCCTCTGGCAGACAGAACATTTTCACTTCTTGTCCCCAAGTGTGAGAATTCACCAGGCCACTGGCTTCCTGTTTTGTATCAGCTTTTGCTCAAACATCACCAGTTCTAGCTGGGTTTTGCTCACTAAGCAGTTTTTAAAAATAATGATACTTCCATTTGCTCCTGTTTTGGCCTTCTCAAAGTCACGGAACGCTTAGGAAGGGGCACCATAGATTGTGGTCTTCTAGCTCCTGTCACCTGACCTCATCTACCGACACTGACTTGGAGCAAGACCATGCAGACTCATAGAAGGCACTATGGCTTTGCTCATGTGTTAGACGGTCCTGTGGTAGGAACGCTCTCCCTCTGTGTGCTCCCTTCTCTAGAAACGTATCTGATCACACACACAGGGCGGGATGTGGTTGAAGGCTGGCAGGAGAAGAGATGACAAGTGTGAACTTTAAAAAGAGCACCAGGCACGGAGCAGGCTTGGAACAATGTGCAAAATGCCTTCGAGAGACTGAAGAATCCTTTCACTCTGTGTCCTGAGAAGTTCCTGCCTATGGCCAGAAGCATACGGGACACAACAGGGGACCTGGAAGAGACATAAAGCCTAACTCTGTTTGCAGGAAATGCTTATGAAGCAGGAGAGATTCAGTCCTCCAGAGAGACTGGATTCCCCATGGGGCCTAGCCCAGTGACTGGAGGAGTAGAGAAACTTGGATGGATGGATGGATGGATGGATGGATGGATGGATGGATGGATTGAAATCATGAAGCTATGAGAACCAGAAAGTATTTATAAGTAAACCCAGAAGAGAACAAGGCCTGTGAGTCTTGAAAAAGGCTCCGGGATCGTGTGAGACATGAGCCAGAAGGAAGAATGGGCAGAATGTGGTGATTTGAGAAATCAAAGAAAGACTAAAAAGGAAAAGGAAGACCAGGAAGTTGGTGAGTGAGAAGCTCAGAGCTGAGATCAATCCCGGGGAGGCCTGAGCCCCCAAAGCCTCAGCCATCACTGTGAGAAGTTAGTATCTCACTGGAGGGAGGAGCCAGTTTCTTGGAAGCTAGTCATTAGAAAGTAGCTGCCCCTTGACCTGATGCTTCAAGCCAGCACCCCAGGATTTAAGCAAAGTAAATTCTATTCCACCTGAGTATCTATTTCCCCAGCCTCCGTTTCCCTACCTGTGAGACTGAAGTAAGACTGGGTACCTGGAGCCCCTGCCATGATCAGTCTGTGCCCAACAAATGTGAGTATTTGCATTTCAGACCTGATTAGTTTAGGAATAATCCAGGCTTCAATCCCACCAGATCTCTGCAAGACACGGGAAAAACTGGATAGTAGTTAGAGTCCCAGATGACTGACATCTAGGGGACCTCAGTAGCCACCTTTCAGCAGCCAGCTCCTAAATCTGAGCTGACACTTTCTATAGTGATTGCATCCTTTAGCCATCTACTGGGCAGATTAGTTATTAAGACAGAGGAAGAGTCAAGAGGAACCTTCAAGAAAATAATCTTATCTTTTTGCTTTCCCAGTGCTGAAATAGATGCCCAAATAAGTGTTGTGATCAGCCTTAAGGCCACACAGCACCACAGGTCAGAATAAGACCCAAATCCTTTTATACAATGACCAGTCCTTACCCTGATAAGCCCTGAGGTGAGACTGTGTCCCCAAGGCCACAGATTCTGCTCAGACTCCACTACAGCCAGTGAGTGCTGGACAGTCCTGGGCAAAGCATGCTACCTCTCCGACTCCCTCAGTCTTCCTATGTGTAAAATGAGCCAATAATAATCTCTGTGTCACAGGGTGGCCACAGACTTAAAATGCGAATCATACATGAAAATATACTGTGTAAGCCATCCGGTCATCCTCAGCCTGCTGGACATCCTTTTCCAGAATGAGGCACCCCTCTGTTTCTTCTCCAACCAATTCTAATCCATAGTAAGCTGACTTACTCTGCTTCATTTGAAGGGTTGCTAGAGTCCTCTGGCTACAAAGGGCTTGTCCAGGTTGGGGAGGAATCCTGGCCATCTACAGTAGAGACCAAAATGAATGATGTCTAGTCTTGAGTCCTGGGGTGAGTCTCAGGAAAGACAGGAGATGAGGGCCACAGAGTCTGGGGTGCGGACAAAAGGATTGGGTGTATGGGACAAGAGAACATTCTAGGCTGGCACAGCCCTGGGGAGGATATTGAAGAAGAGCAGGGAAACAGAAACTGTAGCCCACAGCACAGCAGGCTCTCCAGTGGGGCACAGAGGGAAAAGAGAGGAGGCAGAAGGACTGGGGAGGCCCCGGCACGGTCAAGGATCTGACTGCCTTTCCAGTGTCCTGCCTCGCAGACCTGTTGCTTGGTTTCTAGTCCATTTCTGAGAAAGCCCGAATCTGCCCCTTCACAGCCTTCAACAACGGACTCCTAGGGTGGAGCCACTGTTCAGGACGAAGAAAACTGCTATGCCATGGGCCTGCGGAAGTAAGGAGAACAAGGGCACACCGAGAGCGTCAGCGGGCTCAGAAAGAGGAAGCGGTTCTCTCTCATTTCTGCTTCTGGGCATGGGAAATACCCGCTCTTCTCCCAGACTTCAACAGCTGTCCTTGTCCTCACCTGCAGCCACAACACCTGGGCCCGGGACTACCTGGGGCTCCAAGTCTAATCATCCTTTCAAGTTTCCAGAAGGTTTCTGAGTCCTGCTCATCTCCAGGGCACCCGACAGGGCCCCACAGACCATGCCAACCGTAGAAGATATTGAGGCTGCATAACCTGTGAGTTCAAAAGTGGGGTCCAACCTGCAGAGCCAATATCCAAGGCAGAGGGGAGCCAAAGACAACAGGCTCTCCTCTCTCTATCTTTCCTGGGAGTTCTTTGAGGAAGAGAGAGGATCCAAAGCCATGAAGGATCCCTTTCTACATGCTTGGAGCATTGTATCCAAGCCCATCTGAACTGGGAATAAAAGCCCCCCGCCCAGTCCCTGGCAGGAAGCAGGAAGGACCTGCCAAACCTGGCTCATTCCTTCCTCCACAGTCTGCTATTGGTCAGAGAGAGATTAGAGTAACAAAAAATAAAAAACATAGGAACTTCAGCAAAAAGTGAAGATAAGGAGAACAAATATGGCCAGAGCTCCCCTTCCTGTCTCTGTTCTGGCCTCGGCATTCTTTATCCTGGAACTTGGGGCCAGTTGATCCAGTGGCAGGCTTGAGCAGCACAGGCCTCTTCTGTCTTCCTCCAGCCACAGCTGCTCCGCATTCAGCCTCTCTGGCTGGAACCACTTTATACCAAACACCTACTGAGCCAAATCTCCTAGCACCAGCTCCACCTCTGTCCAGTAGGTCACAGGCAGAGGAGGAAGTGATGAGGGAGAGGGAGGTGACACATTCTAAAGTCCTTGTCCATAGCTGCTTTGTTCAGCCTCAGCCAGGGGCTCCCCACTGCTCCAAACCCCCAGTTGCTTTCTGCCACATGGGGTAGGCTTTACATGGGACAGCAGAGACCGGGGGATAGACCCCACTCTATGCCCCATGACCACCCAGTTCAGGGGCCTAAACAGGGAAATGGTTTCTCATTGTTCTGGTCGTGTGTAGTGGGCACTGAGGTCTGTCACTAGAGGGAGAACTAGTCAGAGGGAGACAGCCACGGTGGGGAAGGGTGGAAAATGGCCAAACCAATCACAGAGATTGAAAGGTCAAGATAAAGACCCAAGGTCAGCCTTCAAGGAAGTTTGTCACTGATGGAAAAGTTAAAAACCATTTCTGAAATCACTCTTCTAACCACAGAACTCCCTAATGAAAATTATTGGTTCTCCAACCCCTGGTATCAACTTTACAGAATGAAATGGCAGGAGATTCTACATGACAACTTACACTGTGGAGTCGGGGGCCCTTCCCATTCTGGGCGGCATAAGAGAGGAGAAGGGCAGACCTGGCTGTGATTCCTGAGACTCTCTCTCCTGGAATACAGGTCTTCAACCCCGGGGCACAGTTTCTTCTCCAAGTCCTCGAAGAAAACTGCTAGGGCTGGTCAGGCCCATCCACAAAGGCCCAACTCTACGAGGGCTGTCAGAGGACCGAGAGAGGACTCCTCATTCTCCATGCTCAGGGCTAGGCAAGGCTTTCTGGGCCCAGGAAGACTGAAAGGAGCCCATGATGACTCAGGAGCCTTTTTCTGGCATAAAGAGAAGAGACGCTAAAAAGAGAAGGTGGCTGGAGAAGGACTTTGCTTTGCCATCAATCTTGCCTGGCTCTCCCGGGAAAGAGTAGAAGGACTGAGTGATGTATTTGTGTTACGAGTGGTCCTTGGTGCTGGGCTTGACAGCCTGGATCCTCCTAAGAGCTTACGTAGACATCAGGCCCCACTGAGGAGTCTGCCCTCCTACTCACCTCTCCTGACCTCCAGAGGCTAGAAGCATCTCTATCAGACTCTTTCATTGGAGAACTTCATGTAGCCGCCATCTGGACTGCTCATGTGGCCACTGATGGTGAAGGGTGGCCCCACTTCCAAGTCCTTCAGGTTTCTGAGACAGAGTTCCAATAAAACGGTTGAAACTGAGAACTTGGCCTCTCCCTGGGACCTGTCTCCCTAGACTAGAACCTACAGAGTGGTTCCTAGAAAGAGGGCAATCTTTAGGTCACTGATTCGTTGACTTCTCTTTCCAGCGAAGATTCAGCTCATCTCTCAGGGCCAGAGGAGAAGCAGGCTTGCCCTATGGCAGGGAATAGGGAGATGATGCACCCCAAGAGGTCTTCCTGACTTCTCTTCCTAAAATCATGACTTCCTTTAATTGTTTTCTTTTTTGAATCCCTTACTGTGTCCAATATTATATTTTTTACAATCAGGCTTATCTCCAGCATTGACAGTGAGATGCATAGAGACAGAGAATATGCCAAGCCATCTTTGTATTCTTGGAAATAAATACCATAAAACTTGCTATAATAAAAGCTTTTCTTAATAAATAATAAACAGATGGGGGGTAAGTGCATGGATGGATGGATAGACAAGTAGTGTGGAGGTGAGCATGGATGATACACACATGTTTGGATGAGTGCATGGATGCATATGTATATCTATGAATGCAGAAGTACATGAATGCATGTATGGATTTGGGATGACTAGTGGGGGTAGACGGGTGAATAAGTAGAGTAGGTGCGTGATGCATAGATGAATTGGTAAGTAGTAGGACGGGTTGATGGGTAGATTGATGACTAAGTGCATAGGTGGGTAGGTTGATGGATGGTAAGTGTATGGATGAGTGAGTGGGTAAGCAAGTTGTACATGAGTGGATGAGTGGATAGATGGATGAAAGCATGGATGGTGTGTTCTTGGCCTGAGAGTGAATGCTGAGATGATTGCTATTGTCAGGGCCTCTCAAGGTGCTGTCTGGTGGCATGTTTGACTCTGAGAACTTTTCTAAATGGAGTATTTCTGGTTTACTTTGGAGAGAGCCAGGGAAGGGAAGCAGTAAGTTCCATTTCTGTCTCTTAATTCTTTTTTCATTATGTTTAGCCCCCAGTGATAGCCCACCCAGATCTGTCTTGGATCTACTCACCGGATCTGGTATAAGTTGAAGACAAAATTAGGCCCTGGGAAGACAAGCAGAAAAGAGAGTTAGGACCTCCAGGGGAAGTGACTATCATCTCTCTGGGAATAACTGGTGCTTCCCCCTCACCTGTCCAAAGGGTAAACAGGCTGACCTTGGGGTGTTGTGGGGGGCTCTCAAGATCCTTCACAGTCTTTCCAACAGGAGCCCTGATTACCCTAGGAAGGAAGCACTTCCAGCCCCTCTAACAACCAGACCTAGGCTTCACCCCAGCTCCATGTTCCAGCCCTGTAATTTTCACCACATATCCCTGTCTGCTTCGGTAATGGAAGCTGAGGGGTAATGATGTCACTCAATTGGGAGAGTACTTTTCTTGCACATGAAAAGCCTTGAGTTCCTTCCCCAACATAGTTTAAACTAGGTGTGGTAGTGTATAGCTGCAATCCTAGCATGTGAAAGGTGGAGGCAAAAAGATCAGAAGTTCAAGGTGTCCTTAGACATATAGGTAATCCAAGGCCAGCCTGGGCTAGAGGCAATCTCAAGAAAAAAAAATGTAGGCTGCAGTTGAACTAAATGTGCTTGACTAAATTCCCAGAACTCAGTAGATTGAGTGAGGCAGGAAGATGGAGAGTTTGAGGAAAGCCTGGTATCCATATCAAGACCATATAAAAATAGGGCAAAAAATGGAATAACTTCTTCATGGTGTGGAATTATAAAAATACATACCAAGGGAAAGGGCATTGGGACATAGTAGATGCTCAATAGATGCACACTTCATGGACACAGGGGGCGGGGGTGAAGGGAATGACAGGGAACACAAGCAGACCCACAGACAGAGACTGACACATAAAGAACCAGCCTGGCTCCCTGGCCTTCCAGGCGTTGCCCTTGGTCTTGGGGAGTTCAGAAAAATAGAAGCTGGCTGCTTCTTCCAGTGGGAGGAGCCTCCATTCCCTCGATAAAGGCCCGCCTCCCCATCTGAGCCCCACTAGAGCTGCTCAGGCAAATCTTCAACCACTGCAACCAGCAGAGGAAATATTTTTGCATCCTGCTCTGCTGAAAGGCTTGCCACCCCGCCCAACCTTGCCAGCTCATAATCTGCTCTGATGATCTACTGGTGAGGAAGGGCAAAGCAGAACTTGGGGCTGTTTGGCATGGGTGGGGCTCACTCACCATCCCAGCAGTACCCGCGCTGGTACCACTTGGCCAAGCTGTAGCCAAGGATGGACACCAGCAGCAGAGACAGTCCCACTCCGAGGATCATGCCCAGCGAGTTGATGGAGTCCTCACCTGCAGAGAAGCCATGCATCTTCACACACACTGCACCAAAGCCCTGCCCACCTTACAACTTCCCTCCTCTTCGTCCCACCGGGATCAAAGCAAGAGTCCTCCATAAGACTGCCAGGCTAAGCTGGCTGCTTCAGCCCAACCTGCTGTGGAGGGAATATCTGATACCTGAATTTTGAAACTGCATTCATGTGATAGCTTCAGCATGTTGATCCAAAGGCACAACACCCCTCTGGCAACAGATATTTCAGAATTGGGGAGATTCCTGAAATCATGGGCATTCTACTTAATAGAAGATGCTCTGCCTTCTTGGAGAAGAGCCTGGAAGGCTTAGCCCCAGCATGATCTTGGTGGCCAGGAGACCCCCAAGAACACAGTCCATAGGCTGCCTGGTCTCTTCCCCTTTTGCAAAGCCCATGTACCCAGTGTATCCAAAGAGCACTCTGGTTGCTCCTTCTTCCCTTTTGTGGTCTGAACTCTCTGCTAAATTTATATATTATTTGTAAGGCTAAACCAAGAGCAGGAGACAAAGAGTGGTTGGAAGTGTACAGGGAAATGAGAGGACAGAGCAGAAACAGAGGAGTGGCCAGGTTCTGAGGCTGATGGTGGGTACACCACAAGGCAACTCATCTGTGCCAGGGCAGGGGAGGAAAGGGAAGCTGTTGAAATAGGATGGAGAAATAGAAAGACTCCCTGTGTCCATGGCCTGAGGGCAGAGGCTCTAGGGATATCGCCACAAGTCTGGGAGGTGTGTTGGTTGAGCATAGACTTGGGAGCAGGCAGTGCTTGAAGTCCAGCCCCATTGCCTATATGAGGTGGGAGCCCTTAGTCCCTTTATCCTTCTAGATTTCAGCAGTTCTGATGGATTATTATTATGGATCACACTATGCAAAATGCACAGTTATTGGAATAATTAATGGGAATGTCAGGAAAAGAGGACACTTAGGATCAGACCTGGCACACACCACATGCTCAATAGATATTAATAATATTGTTATTGTTGTCATCATTATCACCATCAGATTCATCAAATATGCAAGTGTTATCAATCTAGCTCTTCACGGTTTGCTACCCAAGCCACGTTTCCAAGCTCCTTGATTGTTCTTCCCAGTAAAATAGCCAGGTTAAAGCCAGATATGGCACCACTTAGGAGGCAGAGACAGGTGAGTCTCTGTGAGTTTAAGGCAATACTGGTCTATATACTGAGTTCTAGACCAGTCAGGGGTACATAATGAAAAACTGTCGAAATAAGAAAAGACAGGTTATTATTCTCCACTCCTGATGATAAAATGACTGTCAAATGCAGAAAGAAGGGGGTCTTGCTTTCTAGTCATAAGTTTCAGAAACTCGGTTCCATGGAGAAAGGGAAGATGTTCACAGTATGGGCAGGAAGTGAGAGCAAGACTGACCCTCTGTCTATATTAGAAAAGAATCCACAGCCTTGGGAAAAATCAGGAGATGAAGAAGGATAAGTAGTTTACAAGGATGTCAGTAAGTCCCAGAGAGGGCATCCATGCTTTTTCCCCAAAAATTGAATCCAAAGTGACAGTAGGATTCCCAGACAGGATTGTGGGAACCCAGAGCTAAGCAGAGCTTCAAGAAGACAGTCAGAGCCCACTTAAAAATAGTGTCTGGGTAAATGGAGTCTCAGAGAACCTTAGAGGGCTACTGTGCCCAGTCACAGCTTGGGACAGTCAGCAGCTTATTATCACCAAGAGAGGCAGAGAAGTCATAGATTCCCTGCAGGCCTGAATAAGCTACGTGGAGGGGCCTCAGGGCACCTCTGCAGTACCGTGCCTAACTGATGCTCAAACCCATCGCCATGCAGATCACCATGCATGTTTGTGGGAGCTGGTGACACGAGGAACTCTTTACTTTTTGTTTTTAGTTTTTTGTTTTTTGAGACAGGGTTTCTCTGTGTAACAGCCCTGGTTGTCCTGGAACTAGCTCTTGTAGACCAGGCTGGTCTCGAACTCACAGAGATCCGCCCATCTCGGCCTCCCGAGTGCTGGGATTAAAGGTGTGTGCCCCTACTGCCTGGCAACACCAGGGACTCTTCATTACTCCTTCCAGACCCCTTCAATCTCTTAGAACAAGTTGGGAACAGGGATTTCCAACACTAGTGAAGAGTCTGCCATCTGAGAAAATGAAGACTAAGATATTAGATTCTAGGAACAGCAGAGTCACAGTTCTGACACACATGAGTTTGTCAACTGGCACTTGCGCCTGCTGCTAACGGCCAGATAGTAAAGATTACAAATGTCTCAAAAGGGATTAGCAACCATACAGACAGGCTCAGTGGAGTGGGCTTGTACTCTTCGGTACCTCTGCAAATGTGTAAGGGCACAGCATCCACTACCTACCCTCTTGAAGCAGAGAACAACCCTTTTCAGACACCAAACCTCGTAGCACCTTATCTTGAATATCCCCGCCTTCAAAACCACAAGTAACAAATTCTCACTCCTAACAAATTAGCCAGTGTTAGATACCAAAGGACTACAGTGGACAGAGAAACCTGTAAAAAAAAAAAAAAAAAAAAAAAAACACTGAACTAGAAGTGGCCTCGGTGGGGACAAGTGCAGGATTGGAGAGCCATGAGTAAACCTGTGCTAGACCAAGACGTTTCCAGTCATCCCACAAGTAGTGGATGGCATCTTTCCTGCACAGGTACAAGCTTTATAGAAATAAATAGAGGAGACAGAACTCCATACCCTCATGGAGGAACCATTCCTGTGGAAGGAGACGGCCAATGAGAAAAGAAAGAAAGAAAGAAAGAAAGAAAGAAAGAAAGAAAGAAAGGAAGGAAGGAAGGAAGGAAGGAAGGAAGGAAGGAAGGAAGGAAGAAAGGAAGGAAGGAAGAAAAGTAGATTGATATGTGAGACGACGGTGCATGCCAGGGCAAGCACACAGAGCAGTGGAGCCAGAAATCCCTGTGGGGGTGGAGGGGAGAGTTTGAATAATGTGTTCAGGGAAGCCTCAGGAAGGAGGAGTGGACGAGCAGATGTCCAATGGAGGTGAGAGAAAAAAAATGCCAGGTAGACATCAAGAGTAAAAAAAAAAATGTCCTCCACAGAGGAAGCAACAAGTTCCAAGAGAACTGTGGCACTCTGTTTGGTGAGCAGTGCAGGAACGGGGTGGGTGGTGGGAGCCATGTTACAGTGCTTCAGGCACAAAGAGGGGAGCCCAGACTTCTCCCTGAGCAAACTGTGTGGTCAGTACAGGACTCTGAGCAGAGGCCATCTAAAGACAAAAGACCAAAAGCAAAAACAAAATTCCTACACTTAGGCATCCAAGACACAACTAATTGGAACCTGGTCCCAGTGAACACATGGTGTTGTAAATATTCGGAGCCTGATCCTAAGGACCCACGATGCACTGCGGAAGGGGCCAGTCTTGAGAAGGACAGCCTTCACTTTAAACTGTACTGCTTAACAAGCTAGTGAAATGCCCGCCTATCTAAGCAGATATAGGCGGTTCGCAAATGGCCTATGAAAGACCAGATAATCACCCTTCCCCCCATCTACTATAGAGAAAATCTTTCTCCCTCTTGGCAATATACTCCCCATCCCCAGAACTCACACACTGCCTTCTACTAGTATATTCCGATAAGTTCTCACTATCTTTTCATGTACTGGGTAAATTATTTTTATCACTCACATCACCGGTCTTTCTAAACACTGTGTCATGTGATGGAGGACATGATTGACAGAGGGCTAACCCCAACTGTGAATAAAGATAGAAAGGGGTGACACTGGAGAAGGACAGTCGGGAAGCTTCTGCAGAAGCTCAGACAAGTAATAAACACCAGAGGAAACCCAAACCAGTAACCAAGGTCAACACAAAAGCAAGGTCATTGTCTTAGGTTGCTTTCTGCTGCTGTGATAGAAGACTCTGACCAAAAGAATTTTAGGTGAGTAAAAGTGTTTGACCTTTTCCTCCAGGTCACAATTCATCACTGAAGGAAGTTAGGGCAGGCACTCAAGCAGAAACCATGAAGGAATGCTGTGTATGAGCTCATTCACAGATTCTGCTTAGCTTTCTTAGACATCCCAGGTCTAGGGATGCTTCCACCCACAGTAGGCTGGTACCACCCACATCAATCGTCAATCAAGACAATCTCTCATTGATATGGCCACAAGCCAATCTGATCTGGAGGTCCCGCCCCCCCGTTGAGTCTCCCACAGATGACTCTGGGCTGTTACCAGGGCGACAGGTGAAGCCAGCTAGCACCGTCACCTATGAAAGAGAGGACAGAGATTCCAGAAGCTCTTTAATATCTAAGGGCTGGTGACAAGAGCAGAGGGACAGGACCACCCTTCATGGTTTTCAACTAGCATTGACTGTTGAAGCAGAATTTTGAAGGGTTTTATCAAAGAAAGGTGGCCAAAAATAGAAAACACTAGAAGGAAAGCACGAATAGGGTACAGTCACTGGCCTGAGTTCGGAGGCGAGGGAAGGAGGTTGCAGTTCTGTCTACGCCTCCTTTGCCCCACCCCCATTTGTGCCTTCTGAGATTGCTTGCAGAAACACTAATTACTCTGATTTACTCTCTCAATTTTTCCAGTCTGCTCATTTAATAGACATTCTTTACTTGGTCTCCTCTTTATACCCTTAAATTTTTACCATAAAATATTCCTGCTATAGCCATATAGAATAGCATGGTAAGCAACACCGAGCTAACTTCTAATCGCCAAAGATCATAAAAATCGCTCCACTCTTGCTTATTAAAGATCCCAAGCAGAGAGAATAACTGGTCAATGGGCTGAGAACAAGGCCGGTGAGTGCTCAGCCCTCAGTGGGACGTCTGTATCAGCCCCTCAGTCAGCCAGCTGAAGAGAACTCTGCCTTCTGGGTACGGTGTGGCTGTTGGTCTCATGAATTCATAGCAGCTGTGGTCACCTACATAAGACCTGAGCAAGACCAAGGCAGCCAAAGTTCTAGTGAGGATGGGGGAGGGCCTCCCCAGGTCCCACTCATAACTGAGGAGCTGCTGGCAGTTGATA